TTAGTGTTGGAATGATTTTTGGATAGGCTCGTGGAGGAGGAATTCAGGGAACAAGAGGATTAGAAAAAGAGCGCTCTGTGTTTCACAGCAGCATTCATGGGATCTGCATTGTGGATCAGATTCTTGTGAATACCAAAAGAGTGTTCAGGATGCGGATACACTAAGACTTCTTACTCAGTCTGTCACCATATTGAGTATCCACACAGTAACTGTTAAAAGAAACACAGTCTGGGAGAAAGATCCATGTAGTTAGCTATCTTGGAAATCTGCAGTTTCCAGACTGCAGAGGGGCGTGGCGTTGACTTCATGTGAACTTGAGCAGAAAATCATTGTAAGCCTGCTAGTCCGTAGAAAACCGCTGCTCAGTGTTGTTTCACTGACCTCCTCTCTAGCCTCTTGTTCTTTTTACGTGACAGTTCCAGAGAGATTAAAGAAATACTTATGTGGGCTAGGGTTGGTGAATGAGCTGTGTAATAGGGATAAATTGAAAAGATAGTAACAACTGGCTGTAGTACAGTAGCTACGATATCAGAGTGAACAGCTGTGAAATAAAATCATCACTTACAAATGAAAAGACAAATGTTGCTGTCACGTTCTGCAGCCCAGAAAAACAGGAAAGACTGCTGTGAGAAGTATTGTATAAATATAAAACACTTAATTTCTGAGAATATTTCTGTTTGGTAGCACTCTGCATAGAAAATGCAGAATAGGAGGAGTCCCTCCTCTTGACTCTCTTTCCTCTGGTTTAATCGTTGAGATGAAAATGCAGGAGTGTAAATTTTCTTAAAATTGCATATAGAGTCTTTGTTTTGGCAATCTGGCTCTTCTCTGCCTGTGAAATTATTTAAATATTTCTACCTTCAGTCACAAAGAAAGTAGGATGCTTCTTCAAATTTTAAATTCCTTTGATAGTTCGTAGTATATACATTGGTCTGATTTTTTTGTCTTGAAAAGTTAATAGTTTTGCTGAGGAGACATTGGCTTGGTACTGACTCAGTGAGACACATGGTTCTTACTGAGTCACCAGTACTGCTTTGTGCAATGGCTGGGTTTGTTCTGGGTGGAGGATTTCCAAGTACTGACCTAGCCCGGTCTTTATTAGGTTCTGAGGCCTGATAGAATCACAGCCCAGAGCAGTAAACCCGCAGGCCAGATTTGTATCCTTTCTCCTTAATAATGTGCTTGAGTGGGGTGGGAGGAGAACAAGCCTTTCTTGCAATGAGTAATTGGATGTTTTACAATCAATACCTTAATTTCTGTAATAAGTGTAATCATATTTTAAAGTTATGTAAATTTACTAATGGTTTAGTGAATAGATAATGTCTGTTTTGAACATAAGATCAAAGAGAATTTTTAAAACCCAGTCTGACAACACTGAGTATAAACAAATCATGCAGTTTCCCTTCCCCCCCCCCCATACATATGCGGAAGGAGAGTGGAGGGAGGATTGAAGAACATATATATTATTATGCACATTCCTAACATTTTCGATGGACTTATATAAGGGAAAGTAATAAGGATGGGGGGAGCCTGGGAAGGCTGGGGTGAGAGGAGCTTGACATGAAGCAGCTTATTAAAGCAGCTGGGAATGTAGTATACACTAACTTTATGAAGGAAAAGCTGTTCTGCACTAGAGGGAAAGAAGAAGCATTTCTGATTTGTCTGCAGAATAATTTCTAGGCAGCTGCAAAGTATGCAGTTCTGCAGAGAGTCTCCTATTTGTAAGGATGTCTCATTGGAAGTAAAACTTAGCAATAGCTGTGGTTTTCATGGTAGTGTGCATGGCATATCATTGTTTACGCAGGGCCTAATTTGACTTTGGGACAGCCTAGATAGTAACTAGATTCATCTGAAATATTGTAATTAAATATACATGATCTAAGAAGCTTGCCTCCTTCACCTTTTTTAAATTACAGTCGTTAACAAGGTTTTTGGCCTGTTTTCTGCGTAATTGTTGTTTGTTGTTGAACAATTCACCTATATATGGAAGGACCCCGTTTTTTCAGTTTTCTATATTCATTTACATGCTCTTTATATTATAAGAGCCTTAGCCAAAAATTGTAGCTTTGAGCAATCTTACTTTTTTTTTAGCTTTCATGTACAATGGTGATACACAGAATCAAGCAAACAACAAAAGAGTTGAAATGTTTGTATGCCTCTCTTCGCAAATACCGTTTTACCATGCCTCTCTCATCTAGAGTAATACTTTTTATCTGTTCCAGACTATTACTGTCTTGAAATAGTAGTTGTTGAAAGATGTGTCTGGGGAATATTTGGTAGTGGAGGGGCAGAAGAACAGCTCTGAACAAAAGAGAACAAGATGCATTTTAGAAGGAGGAGGAAAAGCTTTGACAATTAGTCATTTGTTTTTTCAGGCAGATGATACTTAGGTTCTGCATAACTTGCCAGAAGGCAGCTGATTTTTCCTCTTTTACCTATTTGAAGACAAAAAGGTTTGTATCATGTTGAGAAAGGTTTTGTTTCCGCTCTTTAGTAGTACAGAAACGTTTCAGAATCTCAGTATTTTTTTATTCAAAATGAAATTTTTTTTTGATTGCTCTTAGTCATGAATGTGAATTGCATCATGTGTATAGGACTTCCTTACAGACCATGATGTGAAATCAGATTAGTAAGACTTTTCTTCTTTTGTAGTTCTATGAAGTTTTATATTCCAAAATATACATTGAAACTGTAGTGTTTTCATATCTGACTGTTTTCCCTGCACTGCAGAACAGATTCAGCTCATGTTTCCTAGAATGCACTGGAGATAAAATGGAAATAAAATATAAGGTGAAAATATAGTTCATAGCAAATTTTTATGAAACTGACTGCTGTATGTATACAACTGTTTTATTGTCTCAGTGGAACTGAGAGTTATCATCATGGGGTAAAGTGAAAAAACATGCATCTAATATAGATGATGACAAATACAGTTAATAAGGCATGGCTTGTAGAAGTAGGGGGGAAAAAAGAGTTAATGCATAATCTAGCAGCTGCTGTTAAAATTCTAATATTACTTCTCTGCCAAACACAGATAGGGACACACTGACTCAAGCAATTCTGTAAGCTGGATCCTTCAGATAAGAAGTCTGCAGTTTAGCATCATGACATGAAATTAGGAAAAAAGGAATGACAAGACTAAATTAAGGTTATACTTAGAATTATTTTGGAATGATCACCATTATTTCCTTATCAAAACAATTGTATGTAATATGGATAAGAATTCAACTGTAATAGCATTTATTATCCAGTGCTATTTCTTACAATAAAAACGGCAAAAGTTTTAAAGAGAAAACGCTTTTCTTTCAGATCATTGTCCCTGTTTCTGCACCTCATTGAATGAATGGCAGAAATGAGTTAAGTGTTTTGCAGAGCAATAGAAGATAAAAGTTTTATTCTGTACCATGCTACCTTACGGGATTAATGATAGGTTTTGGTGTGAGAAGCAAGGACTGACCCAGCAACTGCCCTATTTAGACAAGACTGAGAGAATTGCTGTTGTCCCCAGCTCTAGTGTCATGGCTTCTGCTTCGTCATGCATAATTGGAATTTCCAGAATTGCCATAAATCTGGAAGAAAGGGCTTGGGGGGAAGCTAGCTTTCTACCTTTTGTGCTTATAAGGCGGAAGGCAGGAAGGAAAGTACAGTCCTGTTCTCTTTGTGTTTTTCTTCTTATCCCTAAAGAAGACCAGTTCCAGCTCATTATACTTTTCAGTTACAGTTCTAGACGTTAGACATCCATATCTGTAATAGTTCTGAGGCAGCATAATTTCCTGCTAAATGTCATGTCTCCTTTGATCAAGAGGTATAGTAAATATTTAATTATTGTAGTTGCTAGGATGGTTCAGATTCTGTTAGTTACTGGCAGGGAGCTTACAGGAAAAAGGTTTCCTAGAGGAAAGTAACACTTTAAATTCAGCAGTTCTTTTCTATGAAAACAGAAACTGGTTGGTCTTGAGTCTTGTTCTTCCCCTGCCTGTCATGTGCAGAGCTTGTCTAGAAAAGATTTTTGACCCCATGTGTATGCAGAGTTCTTCAGAGTTAAGTAAGCTAAGCAAAGGTAACAAAGATCTACTAGAATCCCAGCCATTCCAAAAAGGGCTCAAGAAGGGGAAATAAAAGCTACTATTAATATTCAAATGAAAACACCTCCTGCCCCAGATCAAGAAAAGGCCTTTGTTATATGCTTATTAGCTTAGAGAATGCTTCCCAGAGCGTTTGTGTGTGCCATCAGGTCCACGCACTCTGAAAAGAGGTAGAAGTGAATGACACTTGTGTATTACATCATCCAAATTATAAAGGGAAACATTTTACTTAACACTCAGTTACTGCTCTTCACCTACCCTAGAATGCATTTCCTAGCTTTCCCTTTCAAGATCAGAAAAGAAGGAACATGAAGACTGATTCATAAGCCAATTTCGTACGTGAATAAATTAAAGAATATCATGAACGTAGAGAATATCATAAAACGTGAACCTGATTCTCATTTGGAGTACTTATTTTCTTATCGTTTTACGCTTAAGTGTTTTGTACAATCTGCAAACGTCAATGACTCCTAGAAAAGGGCAGTTTGCCTGACTGGCATCTAGAACTGTTGTTTAGTCTGAGTTCATGAAAGGTTGTTATTTTCATCTAAAACTAACGTATCATTGTTGAGAATTGCAACATATATTTTTTCCCAGAAACACTGAGAATTTTCTGAAGTATTTTAAAGGATGTCTAAATCAATAAAACAGAGCGGTAAACATAATAGCTTATGGAATTAGGAAGGTAGTTTTTTATCATTTTTTATGACACATTTATATGTTTAAAATTATTTTTTCCACAAATAGCGATGACTAGGTCCTAGTCTTTTAAGACTAGATCTTAAAAGAACTTACAATGTCATTTTTTTTCAGGGTTATGATAATTTTATTTGTAACTAACTGTTTCATCACAAGAAATGCCTATTGAAATATATCGAAAAATTTGGATTTGTTTCTTTGACCTCTTTCATGTAGGAAAGAAGGGAAAGGGAACAAAAGCTGAGCAAAGAAATGGCAGAAAAAGCCACAAGGGAACTAGAAAAAATGCAGTTACAAGAAAAGGCCAAAGTAAAGTATAAAGAATGGTTAAAGAAGAAAAGAGCTGAAGAGTCAGAAAAGAAGAAGAAAGAGAAGGTATTAGTCATTTATTTTTAGATGGGGTTTCCTAATCGGTAACTCATATTAAATATGTTGATTAATTAAATTGATTGGATTTTATCAGATGGCAATATTCTACATGAAGAATACTTTTTTAAAAAAAGTTATAATGTTAGTACATTGAAGCCATTGCGATATGGTTGGCAAAACAAGATGCATATTAACACATTTGTATCTTTCTTAGAAAGCCAGGCAAAGCCACTGCGATTTTGATGTGACAAGGGGGAGAGAGAAGTAATGCAAACCACACAGTGTATCTGTATTACTCAGTCCATTGTAGAGAGACCCAAGCAGAAAAGAGGCAGCACCTGGGCATTTTTTTTTCCCAGCACCACTCATATCTCAATCATTTTACTTGCACGTATTTCTAATTAAAAGCATTTTTCTTCATTTGTATCTCTGCCAATTTGACGTTAGGAGTCCTAATTTTAATATTATTTCATACTGATTAATTAATCACCTCTTTATAGCAAGCTTCAAAAGTTCTCTTGCATGTCTAAAGCTTCGTAAAATACAGGCTTTTAGGTCCCCTATTTCACTAGGGCGAATGTTATAACAAAGCCATGCTTTCAAGCATCATCCACAATTCCTCGCAGGTATCACAGTGGTTTTGCCTGAAAGCTATGAAATGTGCTAGAAGGGACCAGATCTGTTATACGTGAATTCTGTTGGTTGTATTTCAGTTTAATTAACATTGCAGTACACTTTATCAATGGAGTATGTAGTAGTTAAGTATGAGGGGTAGCATTCAAGTGCGAGGAAGGATTGTGATTAGAAGAATTTGAATGTATTCCCCCTGTAATTACAGTGTTTGTTCTTGGGGTGCAGAATACACCCAAAAGTATTTCACAAGTGTATACAACAACTTCTTTGAATTCATTTTAAAATTACCGTAAGCTTTCAATAAAAATAAATTTTAAGGCCTTTATGATCTCTAATTTTGCAGACTTCCACATTTCCCATATAATTAAAACCCACTTAAATATTCTATACTGGCTTATTTATTTCCTGCCTAACACAGTTCTTGCATGTCTCTGCTGAGCCTCTAAAATACATAGCACAAGGAACTTTTGAAACCCAAGAAGATGGAAGTCTTAAGATAGGTCTAAACCTGTTTCAGTTCTGTCTTCTTTAAACTTTAGGTAAGTTCTCAGAAACCATGTTCGCAGTGTCAATTAAACTTCATTTAGAGCCAAATGCAGTGCCTATACATATGGTTTGTACTCTAAATCCTGATTAACGGTTCCCCAATTCTAAATTCTGCTGCAGGCTTAGTGGCAACCCGATCTTAACTAAGTTAGGGCTGTATGAATATGAGTAAATGAGAAGACTGGATGGCTGTGCAAGATGCAGTAGCTTCTTTAGGCTAGCTACCTGCAGAACTGTAGGCTCTGGTCATCTGACCATTGTTCTGTTCGGTATGTCTCCTACACAAAGACTTGCAAAAGATTTCTGGGAGCTTTTTCTCAGAGGAACTCAGGATTAATGGGTTTAAAAGTTTTTTCTTTTCTAGATTTGCAGGAAAAAAGATTGAGGAGTTTCCCGTTGTATTTGAAAGCTTATTTGAAACAGATATTTAGCAGTCTGGGAATTTGCAGAAGTTTGTTTACCATTTTGTATATATTGTACAAGATTTTGTCTGTAGGTTTGTCCTGGATGTTTTGATTTTTTTAGGAAAAAGAACAAGAAAGGGAAGCTGAGCTACAGGAGAAGAAAGAGAGATCAGAGAAGATCTTTAAGGAATGGCTACATAATGCTAGAACTAAAGCACGCCCTGTCTTAAATGGTTATGGCTACCGCCATGGGAAGTCAACAGGTTTGTACTCTTACTAGCCACATATAGTGAATTAGGTTTGTGGTTCCCTTCCCTTCAATCGTTTAATGTAAAATGAAGCCTGCTTTAGGTTTTCATCTGGTATCTAGTTTTCACACTTGGGAATAACTAGCCCATATGGTATAAGTTAGAGAATCTTTTCTGTGAGATTCATTGTGTGTTTTTCATAGCCCTTCAAGTTATTTGAGAGGAGAAGAATGTAGCATACCAAAGTATAATTGATTTTAATCTCGTTAGGTTCCTTATCAGGCATAGGAATCACTAGAGTCAATTACTGCTTCCTGTGAAGCATAAAAGCTATGTTGGCATCTTCCTACAGTTAATGTTAGTGTTACAGAATGTATGCACCTTCTTATGGTACCTGAATGCCCCTTAGAAAAGAGGCAGCTTTTTTGAGATGCAGAGCCGAGTAGGAGCATGGCAGAAGCCCTGTCTCAAACAGGAGGCTTGAAAATCAAGCCTCAACCTTCTGAGGTTAGATTTCCCTTTCCGTGCATCTTTGCAGTTGTATCAGGCATTCTTGGCCTCCGTAGTCCTATTCCTTTTCCTTTCCCTTTCAAAGGGAAGTGTTAAAGAGAACGCTGATGATAGTTACCGTGTGGTGTTTTGTGAGCCTCGCTTTTTGTCCTCCTTTTTGTCTTCCCGCATTATACAGAAGCTAAAGAGCAGTGAGAAATAGTGTTGTGCATTATACATCACGGCTTAATTGCTTTTTTTTTTTTTAAAGAAAAATGATGTATGCTTGCTTGCTTTCTTATTTTTTCATAAAATTAAAAACATAGTTGTTATTTGAATTCGTAGCAAAATGTTTTGACACCTAAATTCCAGTCTCTGAACGATTAAGAAAATTTATATAGCAGAGACACAACCAGTTGTTCTTTTGCTTAGGTCTGATTATATACGGTGATGCACATTGCTTTCGTGTTTTGTTTTGGAACCTCATTACTTCCTAACAGCTGCCATCACTCGTTGAAGTGATTTCTGAAAAATATCTCCATAATCAGTTGTGTTCGCGCAATAGAATATGTCCCAGACTTTGTTTTGCCCGCCATTGTGAAGTATATGTTGAAATTTGACTACAGACAAGCCACTGCAAGGGCAACGTGTTGCTTCTGTTGTATTTAGGCTTTCTGATACTCCTTTGCATCCGATAGATTATTAATTGCAGATGTAATTTTCTCCTCAGTAAGAGGGAAAATAACAGTTAGGCAAAGAGGGGAAAAAATACATGGATTTTACATATGTGGTGACAGGAAGTAATGTTTATAAATGCCTCAGCACTTTGAACAAAGTAGCTAATTCACAGAGGTTTTCATCATCTCAGCATGCAAAGGACTGAGCATTTTGAATGTTGCACAGCTTTTGACATGCTTTTTTTTTAATGCAGATGAAAAACATACTGCTTATTGATAAAAGAAGGATGGAAGATTTATCACTTTGAATCACTTAAATTATACAATGCAGCTGTACTATCTTCCCTTAAAGATGCTATTGTTTCTTTGCTAGTCTGGATTAGAATTATAATTGCTTGCAGTATAAAGCTTGTAATATAAATATTTCTTTTTAGTTATGTGTGTTTTCTAAATATTTTAGGGTGTCATGATGGAATTTCGTATCCAGTTCCAGCATATTGTAACCCCATTCCCTGGAAACCAATACATGTACCTCCTCCGAAGGAAGACAGCATCGTTACCATGAAGAACAGCAAGAGACCTGTATCCCCTCAGTCTCATAGGTCTTCACGTATGGTAATTGATAAGCCCCAAAACAACCTTTGTGTAGGATCCTTGTGCAGAAAGCAGTTATAATCCAGAAATCAAAATCATTCTTACAAGCTTGAGTGAACTGGGCCATAAATATGAAGTTATACATACAAAACAATATTTAAAAACCACAACTTTTGTGAAACAGCTTCTTTTTGAACATGGTAATTGTATTAACTAACCAATCAGCTTATTATTCAAGGGCCTTTTATATGTTGAATTTTTTTAAAAAATCATATTTAGCCATCTGAAATGGGACTGTACTTCAGTGCCAATAAAACACACAGGATTGTTGCTTTCTTTCCTTCACTCCTTTTTTTTTTTCTTAATTTTTTGGGAAAGGAGATTATTGTATGGGTGATTATTCTTTAGGGCAGTAGTATTACTGGGTTATTTTAAAGATGCTAATTACAATAGACTTTGAAGCAATTCTTGGCTTAATGAGGGAAGAATTAGAGGTCTCTGTACAGTTGCAGGGCTTGATCTCGTTGAGATCACAGAGATGTGTTGGGATAGCTCACGCAACAAGTGCTGCAGTGGATGGATACAGACTCTTTAGGATGGACAGACTGGAACAGCGAGGAGGGGGAGTTGTTGTTTATGTGAGAGAGCAGCTGGAGTGCCTGGGGCTTAGCCTGGGAATGAATGGTGAGCCAGTCAAGAGCCTATGGGTCAGGATTCAAGGGCAGACCGATGTGGGCAATATTGCAGTGGGTATCTGCTAAAGAACACTTGATCAGGAAGCAGCAGCAGATGAGGTGTTCTTCAGACGACTGGAATTTTTGGCACTCTTGGAATTTATGAAAGTCTTTTCTGTTGCTTAGCAGAAGCATTTGTAATACCAAAACAGCTCTGAACATGTAGTTGGTATTTCTCACTTGGCTAGTTTGTAAGTAGACTGGGCATGATTTTTGTAAACAGTGATCGAAAAGGATACAAATCTGTTAATAACGACAAGCCCTATTATTAAAAAAAAAAAAGACTGAACAGGGATAACTAGTAGTGAAAATGAATACTGTGACTTCTGGTTTTACTTTCATGATTATTTCAAATTTTAACTTATTAACTTCCCTAAGTTATATTGAGTATACTCATAACATATAAATGAACTATGTATTTCAGTATTAGTTCAGTCAGATTTCAACTTGCCAGTATTGTGTAGGATGTGTACTTATATAAATCCACATATGCTAAGTAAAAAAATCTCGTTACCTTGCGATACGAAAAATGTACCAGAAGAGAGTTCAGCTCTTTGGGGCAGTAAGGAGATGCTGAAGTGGGCATAGCGTCAGGGAGGCTTTATTAGTGTCTTCTCTAAGCAACGAGGCTCTTAGTTCCACCTAAAAGAATTGCAAGAGCCACTTTTGGTTTGTGTAGCACGGTTACGATTACTGAAAAAGTCATCAAGAGACAAATGCATAGTATTTGGATGCCCAATATTTAATGTGTGTTAGAGTAGATAACATGCTTGGGGAAGATGGAAAATGTATCAGTTGATCCAAGATCTGAATCTTCAGTAAGAAAATGAAAGAAGTGAAGTGTACTTGATATAAAGGGCAGTCCCAGGAAAACAGATAAAGTGCTACATTCTCTGGCATTTGAAATTTCTTAGGAGTATTAAGGAGGCCTAATCATTTAATCACAGAAAAGTCGAGGTTGGAAGAGATCTTCTGAGATCACTGGTCCAGCCTTTTGTTGAAAGCAGAGCTTTAGACTAGGTTATCCAGGGTCCTGTAAAGCAGAATCTTCAGTGTATTCAGTGAGGAAGAGTCTACCATTTCTCTGGGCAGCTTTTTCCAGTGTTTACTTGTTCTTATGGTGAATAATTTTCTTCTTATATCTGGATGGAATTTCCTCTGAAGCAGCTTATGCCCATTGCTTCTTGCCAGTCACCATGTATCCTAGTGAAGAGACTACCTGCCTTTTCCGTAACTACCTTTTAGGTGTTGGGAGACTGTGATTAAATCCCCACTGAGCCTTCTCTTCTCGAGGCTGAACAAGCCTTGTTTCTTAATTCTTTATTCATATGTCAAGTTTTCCAGCCCTCGAATCACCATACCCACAGCAATTGGGAAGGAAAAATGTAGGCGTTGCTATAGTGTTTAGGCTGTTGCTATAGGTTGTTCTGTCTGACAGAAGGTTGGGGTTTTTTGTTTGTTTGTTTTTAAACCTTGGAATAATTTCTTATTTGTATTTGTCTTAGAGTTGACAAGAGTTTATGGCAGTGGCCTTACATGCAGTCAACGCATTCTGCTGATGCTTCCAGTCTTTTAATCTCCTTGTCCTTTTCACACATAGGCTCATAGCATTGGTGCATTAATTGTATTTTTTGGATCATCTGATAGAAACATCAAAAGCACCAGAAAACTCCTATCTTTTTGAGCTAATAGCTTTCAATTTGGAGAAACTATAAGTAAAATGTATCAGGGAAATACACAATCAACTTAGAAAAGAAAGTATACCAGAACAATAGTTTAAGTACTGTGAATTTGTCAACGCTATGATCCTAAATCACTGAACTCACTGCTGACGGTCTGTAATTTAGAGGATGTCTTGAATCTTCACAGACTTCCCTCCTACAGAAGAAAAGAACCTAGAGGAAGATAAGACTGCTGTCTTCTGCCTCCTATGGTGCACCTCGTATAAAATAAAAGAAAGCTCTTATTAACCATGGTGGTTGTGTTATGTGTTGATGTGTGGCAATGTACATAGACTAAATGTATAAAACTGTTGCTCAACAAGGAAAGAGTAAAATATGGGGTCTGATGAACTCATTCAGGTTTTAGCTGTTTAGTTGCTTTTACTCTAATCTTTAAAAAAAAAAAAAAAAACCACCTGTTCTAGCTAGCTGTTATCATTCTCTCCTTATCCTTTTACAAAATGCAAGTGCTTTATTATTTTGTCTTGCCTACTTTTAACATGACTATTAAGCGTCCTGTAACTGTCTAGTTACATTGGAAATGAAACTAATCAAACCTGACCACTGTGTTTTTTAAGTGTCATAATTCTCTTGGAAGAGGATGCAAGTAGATCGTGACATACACGCTTTGATAACTGCACATCTGAATAGGCAGTGAGAGCCACTGTACTTCTGAAAAGTGTATTTCTTATCGTGTCTCTGAACTTGAGCTCTGCTCTAAATCATCTGTGCTACTGAGAAGAATAATTTTCTGTTAGAAAATAGTGTGACTGCTGCAGCGTTGGGAGATGGTTTACAACAGCGCAAGCCAGCTTCAAGCAGTCAGGGATGGCTAGAGCAGAATTCTTGTACGGGCAGAGCTCTTCTCTGCCATCAACGTGAAGGAGCGTCTGCTGCCAGCAGTCCTCTTCGGCCCAGTTCTTATTGCCAGTAGCACAGAAGTTGGAACTAATCCTGATTCACCACTGATAAAACTCCAACTATGGTCAATGGCCCTGTATCGGAGAGCTGTAACTGTTTCCATGTGGGCCTGGATATTTTTAGAACAATGTACTAGATACGCAAACGCACACACATATGAGTATATTCATCAGTTTATAATATTTTGTGGGTACACAGTTTGGTCTGATGCGTTTCACTTTTACTGAGATATGCAGGCTCCACAGTGTCTATGATAGGTCTGTTCATTTTATTTCTGTAACAATGTGTGAATAAAGTGCCAAAGATTTATGAATGTGTAATACGCAATATGGATGGTCGTTATATTAGTTGACGTCTGCTAAGAGTGCACAACTTTCTGCAATCTCGTATTAGTCATAGGACATACAGAGTAAAAGGTATTAACCTTTTATGCTGTATTTATTTAACATTTTACTTTCCTACCTATTCTATGCTTAAGCAAAACAAAGACATCTAACTGCCCTTCTGAAAGGCAATGAAAACTTGCAGGGTCACTGTTATGAGCTACTAGAATGTTCCCTTAATGTTATGTATAGGTCATTTCCATATTTGTAGGTGTGTTAAGCTTTTGGTTCACTGCAGGTTTGTTTTTTTTTTTTTTTTGGAGGCAGAAAGTAATTCTGATGGTTCATGAAGCATTCTCTGCTGTGTATTTAGACAATATTAATTTGACTGTAAACAGGAGAAATCTGGACTCGCTGAAGTATGCTAAGTGTCAAAACTTGCTTCTGTTTACTAGGTGCAGGTGGGCTTCACAGGGGAAGTTTGCATGGTACCTTTGGGATACAGAACTCTGTGCCCTACTTTTTATGAAAGTTTCGTACCAATGGATTGGCATGAAACTAGTAGATTAATGGAGTAATTATCAGCCTCCCTAGCTGACATCTGAGTGCAGAGATGTCTTGTGTGAGACAGAAGTTTGACAGTTAATGTGGATTACCAGAAACTTGTCGCTGCTTAGGTGAAGAGACATCATTTTACCATAATGTAAATGATGACATTTTGATTTACTTTACAGAAGTTTATTCGGAGTCTCATTTAGTTAGTGCCCTATGCTATTGTGTTAGTAATTTAGCATTTTTTTGTTTGTAATGACATAAAATGGCCTAACGTGTGAATATCAGCATTGAGATGTAACAGAGCAGCAAAGAGTCTATGGCTCAGTTCTGCTGTAGCAGGTTGTTGACAAAATTTCTGTTGGCTTTAATAATGACAAATGGGAAGTTAACAGGGGTCCCTCCACTGGCACAAATAGGGTTGTCCTTCAAGGTTGCAAGAGTGCACCCAGAAGAAGGGCTAAATGAATCTTGATTGCCTGTTTGGTTCAGGAATAGGAATATACCAGTAAGTGTTGAGGTCTAGTAGTTTTCTTTCAGATGCCTCAGCCAGAATAATTGAGCTGAGTACTTACTGAAATTCTAGTTTACAGATTTTAGAACATACTAATAAATGCCTGAAGCCATTATTACTTTTCTCTCCCTACCAAAGACTGACAACATTATTTTCTCTGGAAAGGTTTATCCTGTGTTCTGAATCAGAACAAGTTTCATCTGGACAGAGGCAGCCTTAAGTGGACTTATAAACCCCTAAAATAGCAAATTTAAGATGAAAGCCTTTGCTCTAGCTTAGCTACAGCATCATAAATGTAGTTCTGTGTTAACTAAATTACAAATAAGGTTAAGGCAAGATAGGTCATGGGTGTACGTATTGGCTCCAATTCAATCAACATAATGGTTTTGCTGAGCAAAGAAGAAAAATATTGTTTGGATTTTTTCCAACAGGATATCAGCCACCAAATAAAATGCTCTGGCCTTGTAGCACAATTTAAGATTGTATGTTACAGAAAACTATAATTTCATGCTGCTATGGCCAATAATTAATTTACACCATTTTTTCTCAGATGTTAGATAAATTCTTACAACTTTGTTGTAGCGTAAACAGCATTGTGTACTCTCTTAAAGTCCTCTTCTGGATTTCTCTGCTCATGAAAAGTCACAGTGGGCCAAGGTGCAGAATCTATAATTATTTCTTAGAAACAATCCAAGATCTTGCACCTTGATGTCTGTACTACTAAAATAAAACAAACCACAACCTCTGCTGCCTTTCTTTGTTTTCATCTCCTTGCCTTGTGTAACGCTTGGTTCTAAGAATTCATAGACCACTTCAGAATCTTGGCTGCTGCGTCCTTCTAGGATTTACAACCTTTCCTCTTCTCTCTCAGTCATAAAGTGTGTCACGTTCAATCCTGCTCTCAAGGATTACATCTCCCCTGAACTGTTACAATTTTTGAAAATTACTGTGGAGGTGCTCCATACAATAGCATGACCTTGCAGTAATTTACAGGGGATCTTCACGCAGATGTTTCAGGGCTGAAAAATCTACAAGCAGTAAAGTGGATCAATAGACATTATGCAAGAATATATCATTAGTAATAGGTCACTATTATTGTAGGTAGTCCTACATTCTTAAGAGTACTTTTATCAATGTAACATAATACAGCTTTACTGTATTACTCACTACAGATTCTGCTGTGAAGCCAAGGTTTCACTCGTCCAAATAATTGCATCAGATTCTAATAGCATCCTTGCCATGTAAAGTTTAATTGTAAAATCGATTTCTCCATTTCTCGTTACTGACGAATGGATTGAAATGCAATCAGGAGTCCTGATACCATTTTCACTAGGAGATTTTTATGAGTACATATGGATGAGTCTGTGCTTTGTTATTGTGGTTAAAAGGCAAGTGCTTCAGACTGCTCTTCCTTGGGCAATATGATGAACTGTGTTTATGCTTGGTAATGAATAGGAAATCTGAGAACCCTAATCTAGTAAAGCATATAAGCACTTGATTAACTTGAAACGTATGAGAGAAATTATTCATTAAGCAGGGCTAAAGCTGTTGTGCTTTCCTGGATTTGAGGCCTAAGAACTATTCAGTTAGCACAGTCTCTATTTCATATATAAAGTCATGCCCATGTTTTTACACCTATAAATCATTTTATAATGAACTAGTACACGGTCTTCTATAACTGTAGTTAAGTGGGAGTAAAATTTTGCAATCACAAATGCGAAGGGTTTTTCTTAATATCTGGACTTAAATGTTTGGTATAACTTAGTAACTCAAGCAGAGATTGCAAATATTTGATTCATAGGCAAGAGAAAATTGACAGGATGGGTAATTCAAAAAGTGAGATGCCTGAAGTTGTTCTTGTCAAAATCTGTAGAACTATACTGTGGCATAATTCAATGGTAGATTCAATTATGTTAATGACAGCAATATTGCTACCATGGACTCACACTTGGATTTCTTTTACAAAGACTGAAGTCACAACTGATTCGATAAGATTTCGATATTATTTGTGCTAGACTATGATAAGTGGTTAATCCAGCTGGAGCAAAATAGTAATAGTTGCTATTGTGTATAGATTCAGTGGAAGATGGTTTTAACTTTCATAAGTAATTCGTTTAACAATACAAGGAGGTGTGTTTGGGGATTAAGGCAACAAGCTGTTAATAAGTAACCCAGAAATGGAAAAATGTTAATAGACACTAGAAAGATTTTTCCATAACTTGAATCTGACTATTTTTTGCACTTCTAAGTAGTTGTACTACTGTTAACTGCAGAATTTTTGCTATACACTGTTGTTTTTAAAAAAAATCCAAACCGCAGTACTCCCTTAAAAGAGAAGAACTTTGTGTAGCATCGTTTCTGTAAGGCTGGTGGAGCCCTCTGTTTCAAATGTGAATGTACCTATAGAGAATGTACTTGACTTTGGGTGTGACTTGTAAGTAAAACCTGTGGGTTATATTTGTAGGGTGAAAGCATGGCGTTTTGGCTGAGCTGGGGTTGACTTTGGTTTTATGAATGTTTGTGCTTTTATTTGATAGTATTGACATCTGTACTAAGTGTAAAAGTAGTGTGGCACAAATAACTATTTTAAAAACAAAAAAACCTTGTAACTTCATTATACAGTGTCTTTATATAGAATTATACAGGAAAGAAATCTGAAAGGTATAGGTGCTTTTCATTAAGAAGATGGTCAGGGTGAAAAGAAAACTCTTTACCATTTCCTCTTTACATTGCCATGTGCATCCACCTTTAAATAACAGATATGGAAAACTATACAGAGTGTTTATCATTACCCAGAAGGAAAGCAAGAGCTCTGTGGTATGTCTATACTCAAAGGGCCCTTCAAAGATAGCAATATAATTCCACACTTCTGTCTTCACAAAAAAAATTGTGATCAAGTTAAGGAGGGCAGTCCCAGGTATTCCTGGATTGTTCCTGCTAAAATGAGTGTGCTAATTTAAAGGGCTAACCCCAAGGTCTTTTATTTCAGCTGTTCAAAAAACAATTTCAGACCCTGTTAGGACACCTATTCCAGCTGAGCCTAGCTCACGTAGTAAATGAGTGTTGAGTTTGGCAGAGATAGAAAAGGTTCTGTGAAGTTTACAAAAACACTTTCATACCTGATGTAACTGCCAGAGATGCAGGAATCAAAGAAGGAAGACAGATGGCAATTGAGGCTAGAATGTGAATGGGCAGAATATGCCATCTATATTGCATTACTTATTTCACATGACGTAGAAGTGTACACATCATCAAACTGGAACAACTGAATTATAGTGCATGTCCGTCATTCTTCTATTAAGAAGACTGGTTCCATGCATTTCAGCCAAATGCACCAAACTGACACAAAAGAGTTATTTCCTCATACAGTAGTTTTCTTTTAGAACTGTTTTTAAAAAAACTGCATCTGTACTTGTTTTAACAAAAGTGCCACCCTCTGCAGGGTTTGTGGAAGGTGTATCAAAATTATCCCAAACCAAATGTGAATGACAACAGCTTGAAGTAGAATCTAGACAGTGTGATATTTATTATCCTGAGCGCCAAAGCTACTGCGCTGACCTAGGGTTAAATGCTAAAGCTTTTGACTAGCACTTGTCTGTAATGTTCCAGGCTATCACAGCTGACATAAACTTACACTGTACAAAACTCGCTAGTTTTCATGGTGTACTTCAAGCTCATGATTTTCTGGAACTTAGTACTGTTTCACATCCATGCTCTTGCATGTCAGGAAGGAAAACGGGAAGGTAAGTCAGTTTGATTGCGATAAGATTCTTAGTGTTGGGGAGGTTGGAAATCTGACCTCAGTGAATTTAGCAAGGAGGTATTCTTGTACCAATCTCATTTGCTAGTAATACAGAAGATATGGGATCCATAATTTAGAGAAACTCTAGAATCCAGGTACCACTGATGATATAGGTGGGTTTTTTTCAGC